AAAAGAGCTAAAGTGGAGAAACTCACCTGAGGCCCAGCACCAAGCACAGCCATCCATCTCAAGACAATTTGGTGACTCCTCATTAATGAAAAGGCTATGTGCTTACAAGAAAAGTGACAACCGATGGAAATCAACCTACTCTTAGCCCAAAAGCACTTTCTAATGGCAGAACATGTAAAAAAGATAATGATTCACTGAAGTGCTTTCAGGCAAAGCTTGCAACAGTCAAGATCAAATGTCTATAAAAGAAGGAAGAAGTCCCAGAGACAAGGACACTCAACCAATCAAACAAACAAACATACAAATTCTGCTCTCAAGCCAAATTTGCATCTAAAAGTTGTAATTAGCCCAGATCTCAATCTTTTTCAGGATAATCTCCTACAAAAGCCATCTTTTGTCTAGTATAAAGCTCTGCTATCACCCCTAGTGGCGTTTTATCGATTCTCTCATGCAAACTTGTTTACCATCCATCCATTTTAAACACACAACCCTCTATAATCACAAAGAAAAGAGATTGCAAGACGTTCGACCTTGCCCGACAAGGTGAAATCTTGCCTGACTCTCTTTGTTTCGTCTTTCAATTAGTAGATCTAGTATTATGATTTACTCTCCAATATATATTCAAGTTATTTCCAGTTAGTTGGTGATCAAAAGTTCCATTGGTTCTCAGATTTGGTTCACTTAGTAGTTTTACTATCATAAAAGCCAAAATGAGGATTGAACTGATGACTTAGTCAGATCTGGATTTCCACCCTTTAAAGCATACAAGATAATGAACTAAAAGTCATTGATCTCAAGGCACATAAAAGAACTTAATGTAGACTTAACCCATCTACGACAATCCTTTAATAATAAGAAGTCAGAATAACTTGGGCCACAAGTAATCAACTTAAACACACTTGTTCTACATCTGCCATACTGAGATGGTAGTGGTAGGCCAAAGCACTTAGTTAGTTTTGATTGCGAGTCTCAAGGCCTACACCTAAGGCCCCACAAAGGCACCTTTCAGAACTAACTTTGTTCTCCTCTTGCAGCCTTTCAACAAGCAGGAGCCCGACAAACAACCAAAGTGCCAACTCCTCGGGGAGCTATGTGCTCGTGCCAGGGATCCTCCCTAGTGAAATTCCTGCCCAAACAGAAACATGTTGGGATTCTTGTATGGGCTGGGATAAATAATTGTGGCAAAGCAAAGCCTAACCTAAACCTAACTATATATTCCTTGGATGGTTGTAAAAAGATGGGATAGCAGCAATGTGGAAAGGGGGAGGAATGCATTTGATCATACGGTTTTAGTGAATTGACCTAAGGAAGACACCAACACCGAGTGGGTTCTCCATTGTTTTCTTTTACATCTTTTCAGACTTGGTGATCATGATTGTGATAATTATGTCTTATTATAATTTGATGGTCGTGATGAACTAATTTCTTTATTAGAGATCCGATGTAGCCTTCATGATAATTTTATGTCATAGTTAACTTATTTCTTTTATCAATTCAAGGGTTTCTAGTTTCATTCATTATGCTTAAATCATTCTTTATGTTCATGTTATTGATTAGCTACCTTTAATATGAATTTTTAGACATATGAGACAAGGTTATAGTAGATGCCATATGCTTCGCCTTGAGATAGCTCTCTTGAGTGAATGAAGTAATGTTGATGCAGACGCCATGCTAAGACACTTTTTGGTTTTCTTTGTTCTTCTTGCACTTAATGGATTTTTTATTATTGACTTAGACTAGACACCATGGTTAAGTTGATGATTACGAGTACTTGGTTACACCCAGACGCCTAATGGATAATCATAATAAAGAGAGAACGAACCCTAGAACCTGAATTGAATTGTTCTTACTAACTTATCTAATGACATAGAATTTGATTGATATGGTGAAGTTAGATACCTAGTGTTTCAACCATTATTTTCAGAAATTATTTACATAAATTTTCTTTAATTTACTGCACTTAAGATTACTTGATCAACTTCTCTTCGGTTAATTATTTGAATTTCGTAGTTTAGTTGTTTTCGTTATTTTTATTCTAGTGGGTACTACAAAATTGGATTTAGTTAGGTGACTTTACAAATCCATGTGGGTACGACACTCATAATTGCTTGCTGTACAATCATATCGATTCGTGCACTTGCAAGAAATATGATTTGTTCATCAAGCTCGATTCGGAATCCAGGTGGACATTCTGGATCGAGGTGTGTCATATTAATAGTAATATAATGAGATGTACATAGTCAAGACTCTTTGACCAAAATTTGAATACCATTAAAATTTTAGTCAAAGAGTGTTAGTGAGTAAAGACCAAATTTAAAGTCTCCCTTAACTATTTATTTTTTATTTTTTATTTTTGTTCAACATAATAATTATTCCATTTATGCATTAAAGCGCAAAATGTTGTTGCGGAAGGAAATTTTTTTTGGGAACTGACATCAGGCAATAACACATGGCTATTGATAGGAACATATTTATGCGACTTTGTTATCTTATTTCTTTGCATTTACTTAGTTAATTTCCATTTATTTTGGTAATTTAAGTTATTTTCATATTATTGTAGGTCGAGTTGGTAAAGATGACAATAAATAGCTAAATGGAGCAATTTGGAGCAATTTTGGACTTGGATTAGATAGCATGCGTGGATAGCATATGGGCTAAACGTTTTTGGTGTTTAAATGGTGCTAGATATGCGCTAAAATCTGGAGAAATTAAAGTTGAGGCTTGGAAGGTAAGGAGTTACACAAGAAAGAGGAATCCTAGTTGGAGAGGAACATTATCTTATCCTATCCTATCCTATCTTATTCAATCTTATCTTATCTTATCTTATCTTATCTCCAGCTACAAGGAGGAATTCTAATCACATTCCAACATTCTCTACTTGATTGTTAGAGTCCTAAAATATTTCAAAATGCCAAAATCCTTTCCTCCTTGGATTCAGCCATTTCCCCATATATATATGAAATTCCTGCAGAGATTTAGAGGGTGCCATGACTACCATTCATCCATTGAAGTTGCTGGACTTTTTAGAGTTCTTTCTATTTTTGTTTTAGGTTTCAATGTTTATTTAGATTGTTTTTCAGTTATGATGAACATGTGTAACTAAGTTTCTTTTTAGTTAGAGGTGAATTTGAAGACATGATCATATGTTTTATATAAATTGATTACATCCAGCTATTGTTTCATAAAACATGAACGCGATTTACTTATCTACTTTATAGAGAACTTATTCTTGTATTCTTATTAAGGGTACACACTTAGTTTGCATGCAGGGATTTGATACTAGAATATAAGGGAATTTCACCTAATCGTTATGAACTTATATTTGCAAGTAGTAAAAGTCACTACTCATGATTGAGTTAAGTAAATTCTTGGTAGGAGTATCATCATTTTCATATTTACGAATGCTTATGATTTTCACATAACTTAATGATTTTTGAGATGTATCTCTATCATGCTTTTTATAGTTAGGGAACTTGAAAAGAATAATTTGGTTGCGTCACTGAATCTAATTCAATGAACTTAGGAAAATCTGAGAATTAATTAGTGTTGTTCACAGTTAATTTGGGGCATTGTCATTCATGGTTTAGAGGAAGAATAACTGGAAATCAATTTGCATGCATATGTTTCCTGTGTGGAGAAGAATCCTTTAGCTATCATTTCATCCATATTTCATTCACAATTTAATTTACTTGCTGCACTTTACTTTCGTTTTAATTAAATTCGTCCAAATCCCCCCAGTCATTGTTTTGTTTTTAGTTTAACTTAGTTTTCAATTTTATAAGTTTAATTTGTGTTGATTAGTATCCCTTCTAATTCCCGGAATAGAATGATCCCTATTTACTCATACTACAATTGCATAATTTATAGGGTTTAATTTGTGTGTTAGTTTCTACCACATCAGATGTGCATCTATTTGAACATCTTCAAATGAGATATTAAAATCCTAAATAGAATGCTACTGTGCATATTTGACATCAAAAGTCTCTCCAACTGAAGTGTTACTTATTGATTGGATTGCTGATTGGATTTAAGGCTTTGTAATTTGGAATCAAATTTGACATCAATATGAAATTTATTTTTAATTTATTTTAATAGTAGGTCTTTATTTCACTAACATTTGAACAAATAAAAATTTTGTTTCAACATTTTTTTTTTTATAACTCTAACCATTTAAAGCTCGATCTATTTAAATAATAAAATAACATTTTGACAATTTAGTTGAAAAAGTATAAAATTTAACATAAGACTTCAAATTGTCACATTAATCATCAATTGTAATTTAACTCTTATAATTTGACATTTTCTTAAAAGATGGTCTTATTCCCCCACCCGCCCACCCCACAAATAGGTATCAGGCGAAAAATGCCTCCTAAATTTAAATAACATTACAAGGTGAGGGGACATAAGTTGCCCCAAAAAATAATAAAATATATTGATATATGATGTAATTATTCTTCGAGTAAATCCACGCCTGGAAACAGATAAATAAATGGAAACTTTTAACAAAAAACTCTCGGTACTGTTCACTTTAACGAAAAACCACATTTTTCACTAAAAAGTCAATTATGATACTATTCACTTTACCCTTTATTTTGTCCTTATCTTTAAAACTCAAAGTTTTAGTCATTTTCATTAGTTTTCCTTAAATAAATAATAAGGACTGACTAAAAAGACCAGTACAATGTCTCGAGTGAGGATTCTCGCTGATCCTCTTTGTGAAGATTCTGAAAATCCTCCAATCACATCCGTTCATTGTACATCATGTGATCAGTTTTTATCAGATACTGTTTATATTCAATTTTAAATAAAAGAATTTACGATAATTGCGAAACATATATGATTTGAGGATCCTCATGATCCTCACAAACAGAATCCGACAAGGATCCTCACTCCAATATCTCAACCCCTAAAAAAAAAGGGACAGGTACAATTATTTAAGTCGAGTTGACGGAAACTTTTTCAAGTGCTCGGTATTGAATGAATCTAGTACTTGATTCGGGTGCTCCAAAACTCAAAATTTTTATAATTGAAAGCGGATTGAAATTAAAATCAAAATTTTCAATCCAACTTGATCCTGCATTTGACAAAAACATTGTACCCGAATTCAAGTCTCATTACTCACAAATCACTCACATCTGTATCGCTTCCTAAAACTTAATTCAGGAAGCCAAGAACAAACACATTCAAGGCACAAAAATGCACATCAAAAATTCTCACACGTCGTTTTATCTTTCCAAGGGGACTGTCCGAACCCCCGATCTGGGTCGTGTTTCTGAGACTATCAAATACTCGAATGCAGCGAATTGCAAAAGATATCCCTAGTCTCACTGTATTTGTAGACGTGATCCGCGTACCACTTTATCTTTCTTTTCAGTCAGCTCACCGACCCAGTTTCCCCAAGCAACAGAGTAGTATGTTCAAACATTTGTGCATCCATCAGTCCTCTGCGCTTCTCCTAATTTTCTTCTTCATTTTATCTTGTGCCCGGTATCTCTCCCGTCGTTCTTCCCTCTGGCGCTTTTTAGACACTTGTTCTTCTTTGACTTTCTGGACTTCAATTTCTTTCCTCTTTTTATCATCTTTTAGCTTGCGCTTCTTCGTCTGCAAAAGCGGATGTGAAGTTGAAATACCTTAAAAAATTATTTACTGCATAAAAGAGTCTTCAAAACAAAGACAAAACATAAAATGACATAACAGTTTCTTCAGATAGGGGACACCCCCTTCTTATATTCTTTCTACCCCAAAAGTGAAAAAGCCAAATACAAAATGGTTAGCAAACGGTCGATAACTTTAAAACTAGTCAAGATAGCGGGAATATTAAACTGGTCACACTTCAGGCATGTTCTGAGGTTTGCTTTCAAGGTGATACGCAAGCTCCATGTGTCAAAACTCAAAAAAGTAATCATCTATTACATTCGGTTACTCAAACAGATATATGCCTGCCACACCCTGGCAAGTTGTGACTCTGTATTAGTGTTGCACTAAGGACGAGGGTTCAAACACATTATGTCTTAAGGTGCATACCTTCTCGTTTCGTATTAATCCGAGATGCTGAACAAGAGTATGAACTTTACGTTCATGAGGCTCCATGACAACAGCTCTTCTGTTTTCAAGAAGTGGCCTTTTCCTACTGGGAATATCCTTAGGCTTTGTTCCGAATGGCAGCACAGCTTGCAGTGACTTGGGAATCACCAACGGATTGAACTTCTTCAACTTCCTTTCAATTTTCTGTTGACACACAGAAAAGAAAATTACAATTGACAAGAACAGGACAATGAAAAACTAAAGAAAGAGAAGCAGAAGTACTGCTGGGGCAAAATTTAGAGTGAGAAACCATGTGCTGCTGCAATAAGTAGCTTCACATCATCAAATATTACCTTGTAAAGTGAATCCTTATTGACAGGAATAGGAATATTATGTTCTCTCCTCAATTCAGTAGTAGTTTTCATCCCTTGCCAGGTCTTGTCATGAGGTTGCAGGGACGTCGTCAATGGGTTGTAAAATCGAGGAACTTCAACTCGAGTCCAAGCACGCAAAAAAACAATGTCACTCATCTTAATTTTGTCCTCAAAGGTGCACCTAGCAATCCCTTCTTTTGGTTGTCCACCCATCTTTTTTGGTTGGTTACCAATTTCTTCTTTCGCAGCCTGTCAAGGTTAATATTAATAAAAGTAAATTATATTAGCATCGTGGGCCATATGACGAAATGCACTCACAAATTTAATTACAATCTGTAAAGAGATTATGTGTCTGTTACTTGTGAATATATATACACACACACACACGTGTGTGCGCGTGTGTGTGAATACTCGATCTCAATGCCAGCTCAACAATACCAAAAACGAATATCATTCCAGTTAGAAATACAGCAGCACTGACAGTTCATACCTTTTTGACCTGCCCCCGGATTCCACTGACAGTTCGAACAGCAGCACCTTCAAATCGAGCTATTTCAAGATCCGAGGTGAACATATCCTTTACAAGGGCAGTGTTCTTGAAAATCTTGCAGGGGTGACCAACTAGTTTGAGTTTCTTCACTATTCGTGATGCATGGTTGAACTCAAGCACAACTGCAGTTGCCGTGATCCTAAATTGTGCCTGTCAAATCAAATAAAGTAGCTTAGGAACAAAGAAACACAGTGTAGCCTTAAAATTCGAAAATTCAAATGAAAAGAGAAAATTGGGAAAATAAATAATGCGGCACAAAGGTTTCTGAATGATTAGTTTTGTCATTTTTCATCTTGTGTGTTTTCTTTTTATTTCAGTGGGTAGAACGAGATAGGAGGAACCTTATAAATAGGCTAATTGACAAAAGGTTTAGTAGACCCACAAAGCAAGAAAATCCACAGGAAGAGTTCATGAAAGGTAAGTAAACACAATGTTCAAACCAAACAGGTCAATGTGGCCTGGATATCATATTCGAACACCATTTACTTCCTTTCCAAATCAACGTCATTCCATAAAATCTGTTTATATGAAATTAAACCTAGACATTCAAGGACACCTTATACAGGTAGCCTGTGAAATCACAAACTCAACTTGCGTTCCAGGTCTAGGCTGGTTAAATAAAAATTGTCTTAAAGGAGAGAAAATAGCATAACCAGCACTTAGTGCAAGAACAAGACATAGACCAGTGTGTTGTGGATTGAAATTACGTACTCGATTGGTACTCTAGCTCAGCAAAGGGCAGAAAACAGGTTTAGATTCCTAAGAGACAAATATGTCTATGGTGCAAAAGAAACACAAGAATCCAAGAAGACGCATGATGTTTAAGAGAGAGTAGCACTGGGAGAGAGTCGAACTTCGAGCGACTGTCCAAAATCATCAAATCGCAAAGCTGTAGTAAGCTAGCCTCTACTACATGACCTTGCAGCTTATTTTCTTATTTGGTTTATTAGGAGTTGACGATGTGGCCATCTTATTGTCTGATTAACAAAGTTTGAGTAGTACTTCCCAAGTTCCAAACTCTCAACTACCAACAGATGTGGCAGAGTTGAAACCATACCCATGCATAATGGTTTCAATTTGAGAGAGCCTGAATGGGAGAGGCGAAAACACATTGATCGAAATCTCCACTGTTCTGAATAATGAGAGACTTTGAAAAGGCAACATTCATTTTCTTATATATGGACCAATGTTTTAAAAGGCAAAGCCATAGGCGAGGCGTTTCATGGATAGCCCGCCTAGGCAAAAGTCTTGAGGCATGAGGCATGAGGCGAAAGCCTTCCAGGATCTAAATAATTGGGGACTGCTGCAGGTTATTTAAAAACACATAAAGGGGACTGCTGTGGGTTATAAAAAATAAAAAGACTTGGCCCAAAATGACATCGTTTTGGGCCAAGTCATTTTAAAAAGAATTAAAGATTTGACCAAACGACGTCATTTGGACCAAGTTTTTGAAAAAAAATAATTCTTCTTCACGGTCATCTTCTTTGTGAAGACGCTGTCGCACACTGCAACCCTAAATCCAGAAGACTTCAAATTCGGAACGGTGATGGATCTAGGAATGCCCAATCAATCGCCTTCAAGAGCACCTCAGCTGCCTAGGCATGCATCGACCATGTCTAGGTGAGTTTTTGCCTACTCCCACTGGGCAGAGGCGTTTATCACTCCCACCCCGCCTCCAAAGCCACCTAGGTGCGCCTCGGGTGCGCTTTTTAAAAACACTGATATGGACTCACTTTGAACCTCATTTATAAAAATAAAAAAATATTAAGCAAATACCACGTTACGTGCCACATCTCGTAGTAAAAAAAGTCGGGATAATATTCGGTGCATGTAACTAGTTTACAAGAAAAAGAGAGTGTAGGTTCAACTCATGGGACCACATTGAAAGTTGGTCTTCGCATTCGATCCTCAAGTTTAATCCTCAACCTTGTTGGGTTTTTATCCAACCCATGATAAGTTGTCCTACATTTATAAGGAATTATAGTCTTAAAAGATTAAATTGTTTTCCCAATTGGTGCTAGTTTCTCAATTGGAGAAGGATTCATAACTAGATTCCAATTAGGAATAGTAATCCTTATTGAAGAAGACCCTTATTATGTCTATATGAGAAGAGAGCAAAACAATAAATTGTACACCACTCAAGGGATTAGAGTGAGAGAATATTGTAAAGTGTGTGCGAGAGAAAAGAAAAGAGATAGTGTATTTCTTGTTCTTGTTCTTTATAGGTTTTTCGTCAATTCCTAGTTCTAGAGATTTGGCAAGATTATTGGTTGTACTCATTATTGATATAGTGAAAGATTGTTGTTGCTGTCCCGTGGACGTAGGCACATATTGCCGAACCACGTAAATTCTTGGTGTTATTTATCTTGGTTATTTGTTTTCGATTTCCGGAGTTTGTTCTATTTTTTCCCATTCTTAAACGCGATATTCTCAACAAGTGGTATCAAAGCCAGGTTTGGCTGATATCTGTTTAGAATGGAGGGTGCAATTATGATGAAACTCACCCACTCCAACTGGGTTACGTGGAAATCAAGAATGGAGGACATGCTTTATTGTAAAGATCTCCATGAGCCAATTGAAGGTATTAATAGCAAGCCAACAAATAAGTCTGATGCCAATTGGACCAAGATGAATCGTAAAACTATTGGTATGATTAGACAATGGGTGGATGAGAGCATCTATCACCATGTGTCTAAAGAAACTGATGCGCAAGCTCTTTGGAAGAAGTTAGAATCCCTCTTTGAGAAGAAGACAGCTGCCAAGAAAGCATTCCTTATCAAAGAGCTTGTCAACATGAAGTATGCGGAAGATGTTAGTGTAATCGAGCACTTGAACAACTTTCAGAACATGATCAATCAGGTAGCCAGTATGGGTTTGAATATTGAAGAAGAGCTGCTAGCACTTTTATTGCTAGGATCCTTGCCAGATAGTTGGGAAACCTTCATCGTAACTGTAAGCAATTCGGCTTCTAATGGCGTACTGTCGATGGATGCTGTTAAGGATAGCATGTTTAATGAAGAAACAAGGAGAAAAGCTTCAGGTGCAGGCGCTGGACAACTCTTTGACACAGAGAAAAGAGGCAAAAATTCTGGTGAGACGAGATTCAATGGTGATTGCCACTATTGTGGGAAAAAGGGTCACATGAAGAAGCATTGTCGTAAATGGAAAAAAGAACAAAAGGATGGGAACAATACTGCAGGTGTTGTGACCTTCGATGAAGAGCTTCTTTAATGCAGATGATTGATGGTTTTCTGGCAAAGAAGTCTATGATTGCCTTTGCCAATGACGATGGGTATTGCGATCAGGGGGAGCTTGGTCAAGAGAAGTCTAATCAAGAGGGTCTTGGTTAATAAGTAGTTCGATCAAGAGGAGCTTGATTATGGGTAGTTTGATCAGGGGGAGTCTGGTCATGAAACATTCGATCAATGGGAATTTGGTCAAGAGGATCAATCACATTTTTTTTTGGTATACCTTCCTCATGGTCTGGAGGGGGGAGATTGTTGGGTTTTTTCCAACCCATGATAAGTTGTCCTACATCTATAAGGAATTATAGTCTTAGAAGATTAAATTGTTTTCACAATTGGAGTTAGTTTCTCAATTGGAGAAGGATTCATAACTAGATTCCAATTAGGATTAGTAATCTTTATTGAAGAAGACCTTTATTATGTTTATATAAAGGGACTATTGTACTAGTTTAGAGAAGAGAGCAAAACAATAAATTGTATACCACTCAAGGGATTAGAGTGAGAGAATATTGTAAAGCGTGTGCGAGAGAAAAGAAAAGAGATAAGTGTATTTCTTGTTCTTGTTCTTTCAAGTTTTTCGTCAATTCCTAATTCTAGAGATTTGGCAAGATTATTGGTTGTACTCATTATTGATATAGTGAAAGATTGTTGTTGTCCCGTGGACGTAGGCACATATTGCCGAACCACGTAAATTCTTGGTGTTATTTATCTTGGTTATTTGTTTTCGATTTCCGGAGTTTGTTCTATTTTTTCCCATTCTTAAACGCGATATTCTCAACAAACTTAGTCCTAATTAGATGAATTTTATATGAAATATATATTTAAAGTAGCTTTGCAAGCTACAAATTACAAAGAGATGAAAGAAACATAAAAATAAGACAAAAACGAAAAGAAAAGAAACTTGTCAAACCTGATTGTTTGATAAATTCTGGAAAGCAACCACACCAGTATTAGGAGGGGCAAGAGGGCCCCAAAACATTGCAAGGCAATGCATGTGTTCAGGAGTGTACTTAAGCATGCGATGCCTTCCATTGCGATCCTCAATAGCATAAACTGGTATTGTTTGGTATCTCCTCCACCCAATAGAAACAATAAGGGGATCGTTATTCTTAAGTACTTTCTTGTGCCACCTATGCCGCTTTAACCTGACCTGAAAGAAATGGAAGACATCATCTGATGAGATTAAAATTCTTCATAAATATATGTGAACATTGAACTCATAAGGGGCTGTGCAAGTGCTAATCACTAAGAGTGACTGCCTATTAAGACCTTGACATATTTTAACCTGGGAAATTTGCACCAATGCCACCTGGACTTATGGGTGTGCGTAAATACCACTTTTAACTTGGATGTACCACCTCTGTCGAACTCTGCTAGAAATCCCATCAAAATTTATCACATGTTGGGGTAAGAATTTCTTTGACTACAGCTTGTCTTCGAGGAAGCAAAGATATGTTCCACAAGCTTTAATCAATTAAATTTTTACCCTAAGTCATCTAGTTGTCTTCAAGTGGTAATAACCTTGAAAAATGGCTCGCATGTGTTGCAGATGATACGTTTTGACTAAACTTTCATAGAAAATAATGGAGGTACATTTGCACTAATACATGAGTCTAGGAGGTGACAAGATTTTTAGTTTGAGTGGCATTCACAATTTTCCCTTTTAACGTTTTACAGTCTCTTAGCAATTCATCTTAAGTAAACGAGGCAAAAAAATTCGAATACAAATCTGTGTAAATCACTTTTTTCGTGCCTCTTTCTATGTGTTAATCACTTGGTTATTATCTATTTGTCTAAAACCACCAATAAATAACATAATAGTTTTATTAAAATACAACCACACATTGATTCTTCATGAGCATGAAATAGAGAAGCTATCGTACACATGCAAGCGGGGAGGGCCACTATAAAAGGAAAAACAAAAGCAGTAAAATTAGATATTTTAATGTGCACTAACCTGCATGTGTCCGACATTTTCTTCACCAAGACCAATTCCTCCAACCAAAATAGGATGACAGGGATCAAAATATTCAACCATCTCATAAGGGACATCATGAACCTCCAACCGTAGGTATGTCCCTGTCCGAAAACCCTCTACTTCTAATTGGGTGGCCTCATCCAATTCATTGAGTTCAGCAATATTCATTTGCTTCCGAAGTTCAATCTCATCCTTCAACTGGAAGAACTAGGCGTGAGCTCCCACAACCGTGTTGTGCTAAACAATCTTAAATATATGCAGGAATTTTACCTTGTCAAAGTAGTCACTTTCTTTGGGTTGGTCTCGACCAAACTTGCCTTCAGGTTTATTATCAAGCTCCTCTTCAGATGCCTCAGCTCCATCAAACGTTGGTTAAATTAAGGACACAAAAGTAATTTCAGAATTTCTCTACAAATATACACAAAATATGACCAAACACAAAACAGAAACGTTCACACACAGAGAATTGCTAATAGAACATCATATAACAATCATTAAAAACGTTCCTTGGTTTTTGGTGGTGGAAGAGCAATATGTAATTTTTTGAAAAATACATTAAGAAGATATTTCAAGTGAAAAGGATATTGAGCATCAAACTTTGCACGAAGAGCTAGCTTTTTCAGCCTTCTCTCCTCTTTGGTCGAATCTTCCTTGTGGTCTGCACCATTGCTTGCGTCATCTGAATTATTCCCGCCATGCTTCTCACCTGTTTCTAAATCTTCAAAGTCACCATAAAGATCATCATCATCTTCAACTTTAGCTTCTGTGGGTTGATTTCTTTGAGAAGCTTTCGACCAATCACCAGTGACAAAACGATCACAAATACCCTCTCTAAGCTTTTCCTCTTTCCAGTCTTTGAGATTCGAATAATTTGTGAATTTGGAACAGTCCTCAACATCCCAGTTTCCACTTTCTATTCCTCTATGTTTCTGCATAAACAAAACAAAAACAATAAAATGAAACACGCACTCTTCAGTTATGAAGGTTATCCCAATAAGTTACCTCAGAATGGAAAGATATATGATTCCGTCTTATGTAAAAAAACAGCGTGCACCTGTTACAGTGAGATATAAACTAGTAGTTTCCAGAACAAACCTTGTTTCCTTCGCCTTTTGGCACAAAAAAGTCATCATCTTCATCACTTTCATCATCTGCACTACTGCTATCATGATCTTCATTGCTAGAAGTTGTTGGCAGTGATGTTGATTTCCCATATACAAGTTGCATAAGGTTAATAGTTTGCCTTGAAAAAGCCCTTTCTACCAAAGATTCTTTCCACTTTGCAATGTTCCCGGTTTCATCTAGTATGAAGTTAAAAAAAAGGGGTAGATAGAATTAGAGAACAGAAATACATTGTGGAATCTAACAAATAGAAACATTACAATATGTAGGAAAATGATGGATAACATTTTCAGTTATATACCAGTTTCTTATTTATTTTTAACTTTTATCAACATACATAATATAGGGTTTGGCATCACAAACCGTTCACCCAAAAATGTTGTATGCTTGTATTGTATCTGATATACAAAACATATGCATAGCTCTTGCATAGAAAATAAGAATCTCACACCATACAACAAATTTGCAAATTAGGAGTAAATTTACCATCTGTTTCATGGACATCTTCATCTTCTGCTGAAGACTCTGAACCAGAAGATCCCTGATTATCAACATCATTATTGTTGTCATCGTTGTCGTCGTCATCATCGTCACCTTCTTCTTCAGCCTCTTCAGCTGAATCCTATAATGGAATAATGTAGAGAACATGGGCATAAGATTTCTGGTTTCGTCCATAAATAGATTTCTTTCCACTACTTGTATTATTGATTCTTCACATCCATAATCAGAAAAATTGGTTTTTAGAAGAATTTACATCTATCATGCATATATATCCAACGCTCAATCCAGAATTTACGTGATGGTAGAGTCCACCAGAAACAAAATTACACTGCTTAGTTTCATAGAACTATGACCACGATTAGACATTAATAAAGTAAATGAGAAGAAAAAAAATATTAGATTGTTTATATTCAATAATAATGGAAGTCATCTAACAAACTAAAAGGCCGATTGAGCAATAACATAACCATGCAAACACCAAAGTGGTAAATAAAAATAAAAGCTTTTTGATTTGTAGGACCTCCATCATATTTTTTGCCTGTGGGCAAACACACACACACAACATCATATTTTCTAAGGCCAAGGCGTTTCATGGATAGCCTCGTCTAGGCAATAGCCTCGTCTAGGTGATTGCCTTGTCTAGGCGATTGCCTTGTCTAGGCAATTGCCTCGAGGCATGAAGCAATAGCCTCATGGTACCTAAAATTATTATAATATTTTGTAAACAATCAAGCAAGCATGTCAAGCAATCAAATATTTGACTATTATTATCATTTCTATAATTCACGTCACAAAGTCATAATAAACTAATAGAAACTAAGTTAGAAACATAAAATCAGCATGAATTTATAAAAACCCTGCCCAAATCATGTCTAGGCTAGTCTATAGCCCACTCCCACTTGGCATAGGTGTTTTCTTCATAGGCCCGCCCCAAAAACCACCTAGGTGAATCTTAAAACTAGTTGTTTAAAACATTGATGATTTCTATTCAGCAGGCATGATAAGTTTAACTTCGTTCACCTCCATATTGTTATGATCAAGGTCATTTCTAAAGATAACTTTTCGCCTTGACCTTCCATCATGAATCTCAACATGTTCTTTCAAGCGATCTTTAAGAGTAGCATCTGATGCATCTTTAGGAGCTGCTTCATTCTTATATAAAGATTCTGATTCTGAACCATCAGAATCCTCCGCATCGCTTTCTTCAGCAGAACCATCACCTTTGACAGCTTCCCCAGACTGATATTCCTCTACAGGCTCTATCATAAGATTCTGTTCTCGTGATTCATCAATATCTATTCCATCACTATGAGCACTCAATAATAAATTGGGCTTCCGGCTAAATAGATTAATGAAGCTCTCCTCTAACTTTTCATCAACCGAATATTTTGTGTTCTGAAGAGATTTTACCAAAGCCACACCCACATCTTGGGGGTTTCCTGTTACAAGAGAACACGAGTGTCAAGGGAGGAAATTGATTGAAGCAAAAGGAGAAAAAGAAACATGACTTTTCCTTCAAAAATAAAAATCGAAGGTGTCAATGTAAGAAAGAGATTCTCTTCTTCAAAAATGAACTAGGGAGAGATTGTGACAGACATATACATAGAATGGAATCAAACTAAATAAATGTATCTTTGAAATGCTCAACCACATGCACTAACATGCATACAAAAATAATAACAAAATATATAAAAACCTTGTTTTGTTGCTTCGCCTTTTTCATCAAGGTTTGAAAACTGGATAAAGTGGTCATTTATGTTTATATAGACAGCATCTTTATCATACAGGAGATCCCCAAGTCCAGACATAGGTGCATAAAACAGTTTTTCCTTATCACGCAGTCCCTTCTTTTTGGCAGCTGAGGGCAAAGGACAAGGATCAGCTAATCCTGTCATGCCAGCTAAACTGTAATCCCCAACACCTGCAATATGAATCTGATACACAATGTACATCAGACAACTATATATCGACAAAAAACAAAAAGAGTACGAATTATATTTTCAGAGTGTTGTCTTTCCTGTGAGACTGACTCCAATATCAATTAATTCTTAAGCAAAAATGCCAAAAAAATTTTTGCAAAGTTCCCAGAATTTTGAAACACATAAACAATGCACAATCATATTTACTTATATCCGGAGCTTCTTAGTATAAAAAGAAAATGTTATGCTAGATATTACAGTGAGTATAAAAAATATTCTTGTGATTTTTGGGATTCTCACTAGGAGAACAGGAAACCTTAAAAAATCCAACAAGAAAAAAGAAGGTATCAAGTTACACAATCATATGCATCAGTATTTAGTTGAAACAATTAACTTTCCCAAGCATCAGATTACACAACCATTAATTTTCAAATGCACTCTTGAAAGATATTTTCAAATAAAAAAATAGAACTGCTTAAAAAGCCTCAAAACACTACTGATTTTGTATCTCATCCTGTTAGGATCCTAGTTATTGGGCTTCAACGTACTCTCCTTGTCTAATGCCAGCCCAATTAATGTTGTCTAAAGCCCCGTAGTACTTTTATATTTGACAACATTAATTGGGTTGGCATTAGACAGGGAGAGTAGAAGTCCGTTGAAGCCCAATAACTAGGATCCTAACACATCCCAAAAAGCTGAACCCCTAAGATGCCTTTTTGATGGGTAGCATTTTCATTAGAAAAGTATTACGGGCTTTAGACAACATTAATTGGGCTGGCATTAGACAAGGAGAGCAGACGCCCATTGAAGCCCGATAACTAGGATCCTAACACATCCCAAAAAGCGGACCCCTAAGATGCATTTTTAATGGGTAACATTATCCACTTAATGCTTGCCCCAGTTGATCTGACCTGATTCAACCAAGCGAGCCCTACTGTTGTTTGAGTTTGTTTATAATTCTATAAGCCTATAACTTAACCCAAATGGGTGCTTATTCAGTGGCATTCCAGCAATCAATCCTACGTTTTACAAATACTCATATAATCCAATGTATTCTCTGTTATCTATTTTTGGCTGAGACAGGCCTGTTACAGGAGCACCAAGTAACCAACCCAAAAATGTGTGCTGGGGGCAATAATCTAGACTGCTAAGTTTGAACAAAACAAAGGAGCTTTTCATTTAAAAGTTGTCGCAACGAAAATGAATTCCTGGCTCGATCCCTTCATTTGGAATTCCAGTATAGCATTAAAGAACCTCTCTTGACCTGGTTATAGGCTCCTTTTATTCACAGTAAAACTCTAAATTAATTTACATAAATTTGTAAAGGTAATAAGACAAGCTCTATAAGTCAAGCACGTACCTTTGTTCCTTTTCTCATGTTACATCCCCGCAAATACCCATACAATGTGACATTTCTATCGCATTTATTATTCAAACGCACTTTTTCAGGTGGAGTGACATCTTCAAAACGATCTACCAAAACATAAGGATGAGCAGTTCTCCAAGATAAAGGATGAAACTTCATAACGGATATGAAACGCGCCAGGTTGTGAACTTCACGCTTGACATACCTATTTTAAAGCAGGGGGAAGATAATTATGAAATATGAATTGAATTCATAATAGTTGTCAACTTTCACACATTGACTGGATCGCAGAGAGTTACTACTTACTTTCCATGAATGAGACCAGATAAATAAAACAATTTAGCTCCATCATATATTTCAGTCCAGAAACGATGTTTGAGGTGCTGCTTTGTTTTCCTTAATTTCTTTACATCTTTAAACTTGTCGAGGTGTGTAAGAACTCCCATAACCTTTGGGAAACCATGAACTTGTAATATATTCAGGAATTCAAATGTTTCCTGCAAAAATAAGTGAAAGCAATACAATATTATAATATAAATATCTTCACAGTATATTGATGGATAAAATGATAAGCTAAATGAATCCCTGACTAACAAATGAGAGGTATCACAAAACCAAGAACATCCTCCGAATCAACATTGAAGCAGAGGCATGTCCGTACACATATTAATGACATCTATGAGTGTGTGTGCACACCCGCACACTTGTACGCTTGTTCAATAGCATGAGACGAGTTGAACTCATAAATATTCTAATAAAAAAAGTTACATATTTCGGTCGGTGTTGGGATTTCCATTGAATTTAAACCATCCAAGTGGAGGCGATAGACGAAAACATAAGAAGATTAATTGTCTCGAGTCTCACCATTTCAAAACCGTAGCTTCCGTCTATAAGTAGTAGTGCCAAATCAGCAAACTTTGCGGCATCAATCATACCATTGATATCATTAGGGCACTCCACGAACTGTACCCGCCTTTGCTTCCCTAACACAATCAATTAATCAAGCGTTTAACCAACAGTCCTCAATCCAACATCAAATTATATAAAAAAGAATATTGCAATATCAGAAGTAAAGGTTGAAACTTGGCACCTGAAACAATGGTAATCGGGCCTCGAACATCCGGTAAATTATGCTTGGTATAATGCTTCACAAGCGACTTAATCAACAAAGACTTCCCAACCTACAAATAAACAATAAGAAATTCAATAAAACTTATCAATTCGAACAAATTAACTGCAGTTCGAACGAGATTTACACAACGCAGGAAATATATTGCAGTGATTATATGTACCTTCGGAGGTCCATGAACCAGAACGACATACGGAGCCGGCTCGCCGTACGAACGGTCGATGGTGGGGACGTGAAGGCGGCGCTGCTGCTTCTCGACGGTGCGAGACTGAAGACGCTTGGCTTTCCCGGCTGATTGGCAAGCGAAAGCCTTTGGGTTTGGCTTCTTGCCGTTTTGCGAGGCGTCTGGCTTCTTCTTCTTGTCGGCCTTGGCGCCCGACTGCCGGGACCTGTGCTCCTTGTGCGGCTGCTCCTTGGTTCCGCTGTCTATCGCCATGGCAACCTGATTGAGAAACCCTATAGGTCGCGGAACAGATGTACAGTGGTTGTGTGCTTCGAGCTGCGGCAATCGCTTCCGCAGTGGTGTGGCGGCTGGTAGCTTTTGTTGCTCTCGGTTTTGTGGTGCTGTGCACCGGCCTTATTGAAACCTTTTCTCTCTCGCGAGAGAGTACGGGGTTTTGGGAAACTGATACGAACCATAGGGTTGGATGGGTTGCTGAGATTTAACTGGGGTTTTAAAACCCGAATGCAAGAAATAAACCCATGACCCGATTAAAGGCAAATTAAGGGTCCATTTGATAATGTTTTGCAAAATGTTTCTAAGAGATTACGAGAAATAGGATTTTGTATGTTTAGTAGTTTAATCCGAGAATTTTTTTTTTAAATGAAAAAATCAAAACTGTCTTTATTAATATCTAAAATGTCTATAAAATAATAATAAATTTGTGCTTGGTATTAATGTTTTTGTAGTGTAACTAAGATGGTGGTGGTGGTGGTGGTGGCGGCCACCTTTGTGGTGAGGGTAATGGAGATGGATAATATGCTGCTAGTGGTGGTGCTAGTGGTGATGAAAATGGATATGAAGATGGTGGTGTTTGGTGAGATAGTGGTGGTAATAGCAACGGTGGTGTTAGTGACGGCAATGGTGGTGGGAGGTAGTGGTGTCAAAGATAGTGGTGGTGGCGGTGGTGAGATGGTGGAGGTGGTTGTTGCCATGGACGTGTGGGTGATTGTGGTGGAGAAGGTTGTGGGGGTTAGGGTAATGGCGGTAGAGAATGTTGTGGTGGTGGTAAGGGAAATGCAAGTGGTGGTGTTCATGGTGAGACGAGGACGGTAATAGCTGCAGTGGTTCCAGTGGCGATAGTGAGACGATAAAGGTGGTGGTGGCCATGATGGCGCTAGTGATGGGGGTGAAGGAAGTGGTGGTGGCGGTGATGGTGGTCGTGTCAAAGATGGTGGTGAGACGATGAGACTGTGGAAAGGTAATGGTTGAAGGAAATATTTGTGAAAACAAGTTCATTTGGGCAACATTTATGCATGCTATTAACAATTAAAAGGCGGAATCATGCTTGTATGCACTTAAAAACAAAACTTAACCCATGAAATTCAAAGCCTAGTAGTTATGGTGAACCAAGACTGAACTCAAAACAAAGTGAGTTGAGAAATCTTATACCTTTGTTGATTCTTCTTTGCATAAGTAAAGGCTAATCACCCAAGAGAGAGGGCCTTCATTCCTTTCTTCTTAGCTCCATGGATTTCTTGGAGGAGGATGGTAGAATGGATTCTCCAAGTTCCCAAAATAGAGAACCTCTAAGCCTCTAGACCAAAGAGAGCATTGATGAATAGATGAGTAACCTTGGATGAAATAGATGCTAGTAATTTCTCCAAGGTGGCCGGCCTCCTAGAGAGAAAATGAGAGCTCGTGTTCTCATCTTTTTTTTTTTTTTTTTTTTTTTTCCAAAATAAACCCTAAGGATGAAATGGCTATAAAGTTGCCTTTATACCACCTCACAATGGAATGGCAAACTTGCAATTAAGCCAAGTTTACTACCCCTCACTCTTATGCCCGGCCATATTGGGTTCTTTGGGCTTTGAGGCCTTTTGTGTTTCAAGTTGTCATACAACTTGAGTTAATGGGCTTGACATTCAAATCCCATTGGGCCTGGCGGCCCAAAACTAACCTAAGGTCTATAACGAACATATTCATTTGATTAATTAACATATTAATTAATAATAGCCCTAAATAATTAAACCATTTAATTATCCTTACTCATCTCCGTTGTTTCTTCAATCTGTACCTTACTTGGTGTACGATCCATTAGGTTCCTTTTAGCAAGGCAGTGGTAGATTAGAACTCTTCAAATCGATTGTGAATTGAAACTTACTTTCAATTCTCCCTTTAGTGATTATACACCTTTAGGGCTTGCACAAACCATCAGTGGCACCTAGCAGTATGTCATGGCTACCGAAACCATCAGTGGCACCTATTCATTTTAGGATTACAATGCAACACGATCTTTCTCTAATACAATACTCTTGAACCATATTGTTTGGTTTGATAGTTTATTCATGTTTACTATCCAATGTGATTCTCTTACTTATATAATCACTTTGAACGTGATTTGGAACGACTTCCTAAATCTAATTCATACTCTGGCCAGAGATTCTTAATCATATCATAGAGTATTCTCCCTTAAACGATTTGAAGGTTAGAGATCCCTTGTTGCGCATTCACTTACCTCTATGGCTAAGTGGCTTAACTCCAACTATGACGTGGACACCCTCTGACGGAGTGACTTTGACATAGCCAAAGATCAATGACCTAACCACAGGACAACTATGATGCCTCAGGTCAAAGGACTACTTTGCATTATCCCAACCATGAGTTCTCATGTGATATGAGTATGAGAACTCCTTGTTGATCGTGTTTAATGGACTCATTATTTGTTGAGCACCTACATACTTGTCTTGGTATCTGTCACACCAATGACTCAAGACCAGTCACTCTCTTTAAGAGAAGACATACTACGTACTGATCTTAACGGACTGTCAATGCCCAATTGGCAATCCTATAATTAGGAACGTTTAGGATATGTATACAAAAGAGAATGGTCTGATGAATTTAACTTCTTTAGATCACATTCTCCCAATTACATATTTGTTGGACTTATCGTTTAAGCACATAATATTTATATGAGACAGCTTAAACAATAATCTTTGCCCTTTATATATATATATATATATATATATATATATATATATATATTAAACTAGATTAGTTTAACATGTGAAATGTCCGTAAAGTATCATCATATGATTGGCTTTTAGGGCACATTTCCAATAATCTCCCACTTGCACTAGAGCCAATCAGCTTGGTCACCAATGTTGATACCTCTTCTGAATTCATTTAAAAAATGGCTGAGTAATAGGCCTAAACAATGGATATCTATACGTTATTCATTGAAGCAACATTGAGATTAATGACGTCACCATTATACATGATTCTCAATCATGTGGTTAAGTCTCTCATTTGTGTTCAGATCTTGATGAGACCTTAATTCCCTGGCTTAAGCTGTCGCCCCATTACTGTCGTAGTGTTGGCACACTATAGACGCTTTCTGGTTGGAACCGAAATGGAGAGTTCATAAATGAACTTTCCCATCCAAACAACAATATTGTAAGCTTCTATATGGTGATATATTTTGCATGATGGAACACACTAAAGTAAGTACTTTTAACGTTTCCACCCAAATATCTCTTTAGTCCTAATATAAAGAGATATCCAATTATCTCTTCATTCAAAATGAAGAGACATCCAATGTTGGATACAATATTAGGTTCATAATCTAATACATTTATGTTTCCTTTGCGCTACTCTAATTCTTCCTCATTCTTGGGGAATCTATCCTTAAGTATTTCTTAAATACTTAAGGACTCATTTGACAGTTGTCATGGTTCTGATCCTGGGCTTGCACTGATATCGTCTTGTACCGATCTTGGTACAACTCATATCAATGTTTTTCATTCAATATGAAATACATAAATCACCTTTCTGCGTATGCATAAAGGATTCTATTTACGCATTATTCTTTTGGGAATCAAAGGGTACGTTCCCTTTGAGAAGAGCAACTTCCTAGTCCCACTAGAATTGTCATTCTGATTGAAGTTTATCATCATATAAGAAACTTCCTAGCATCTTTTGTCTATCATTAGGGATTGATATAATCCAATTATATCCTGAAATCTATCATTATAGATTTCCATCCCATGTATGTAGACTATGTCTCGCATATACATTCTATCGTTATAGAATGTTTAAAGTCATAACTTTAACGAAGAATAATTCCTAAAATTAATATATCATATATATGTTCAAATTTCGGAATATGATTAACTCCAACTAATCTTTTGTAAACCTAGTAAACAAAAGATTCATTTACATCTTATGAGGAATCAAACGATTTGATCTTTCTCATAAGACGCTTATAGCTCCTAATAGCTTGCTAAGATTCATGATGGATGGATCTCTACAACTTACACGTCTTGTGATTCCTAGTCTTAGACATATATTATCAAGACAATCTTGATAATGGTTTCGGAAACCCATATTATGTCCAAACATTGAATCATCGTTTAGTTGTAGTTAGCAATCTTCGAATTAATAGAAACCAAGACTACATCAAAGATGGTTTCTTCCAAGTCAACCAATCTTGTTGATTGTATTCACCTTAAGCTACCAATTAGCTATGAAGGTTTCATTATTTCGGGTCAAATGGTACAATACCATTTCCTTGAGTATATGTCGTATATACACTTAATGTAGTCATAAAGATTTTCATTCTTATTTCTTTCGAATTAAGAGGTGCAATTCTATGACATAGTCATAAAGTTCAAACCATTCAACTGAGATAGTCTATAAATCCTTCTCGACTACCTTGGAGCTTGTGGTGTAGGAACTAGGTTGTTATATTTGTTGATCATCAACTTGTCTCTCAAAGAACCCATTCTTTAAGTTCTGTCTCTTGTTCATTTGCTCTATCTTAGGCAAATCCTAGTGTAGGATCACAATGAACTACCCAACAAACAACATTTGGTTGGTTGGTTTATAGAAGTGATATCCAATGGTTAATTTAAGGATATCCCACAAGATTGTTTTCAAACAAATATTGGTTATTAGGACACAACCCCAAATCCTAACACGATTAAGACTTGTCTTTTTTTCCAACTACATCCAATGGAGTCATGAAAATTTTGGAAGATCTTCTAAGTGACAATCATATTGTCTTAGAAGTATATATCCTATATATGGGTAATTGATAACATCCAACAAACTAAATCTTATTCGAGTTCATTCTTCTCCTAATGGAGAAATCCATTATCATATGATGCTATTTTCTTTGATATCTTTCAAGGAAACTCTTCTAAAGTGTTATTTTTCCTTGGATCAAATCTAAGGAGGTAAATACTTTAGAAGTCTTACTCATCAACTTACATTCTTGAATTCTTTGAAACCTTTTGCAAAGTATTCG